TCCCGCATTGTTCGGATCCGAGCGATCCGCTTCGATCGCGCTCGGTTTGACGCGAGACTGGGATGCATTCGGTATCTCTCGATTCTTTTCTTGGATACTGAGGTTTCCTCTTTTCGAATTTGGTTCCTTTGTGCCTTTTTTGGGGGAGCAATTTCTGGTTGATGAGCAAAGATTGTTTCTTTTCGAAGCGGGAATCTGAAGTATGTTGTTATAGGGTTTTAATCTGAAGGGTTTGATTTTGATTTTGGTTTGCTTCAATGCAGATATACGTGTTGTCGGCCAAGAGATTCTGCCTTTGATTTGATACGTGCCTCTAGGTTTTTAATGGTAATAAGGTATTTGAATCCACATTATGCTTTGCATTCGATGAGTAAATTTGCACACGAGTTTTATAAAATTTTGAGTAATGGGTTTGCTTTGCAGCAGATTTTTCCGATAAAATAAAACTGTGAAGGGGGGGAAAAAGATGAATGCCAACAGACAGGTGGAGGTTCATTACATAGACACTGGGTTCCCGTACACAGTCACCCAGAGTTTTATGGATTTGTTTGAAGGCCTTTCATATGCTCAAGCAGATGTTGCGCTAGTGGAGGCTTTGCAGGATCAGGTAGCTTGGTTGGATCTTATTTATTTAGCTTTGAATATTATCGAGCATTGCAGTTAAATGGTATTTCACTATTTGTATCGTCGAATGAAATTCCATTCTCTATCTGGAAAAGTATTTAAAGTTACTTAGTAAAGTTTGTAAACGTAAACAATCATTTAAATTTTATAGCTAATGTAAAAAAAATTTCCCTTTCGTTCTTTGTTCTCCTTTTGCCATATTTATGTATGTATAATATGTTGGTTGCGTATCTAATTTCTAATGTCTCACTTGTTCTACCACAAAATTGACGCTGGAAATTTTCATCAGGGAATAGCATTTTATATGGAGCCTTTACAATTAAGAAGATGATGTGAGAACATATCTCTATTTGCAGATATATTTTGATCATGTTATTTGACTATGATTATAATTCAGTTTGTTCTGGCATAATGCTTTTCGCTCCTTACCAGTGAATCACATGTCTTTTGAGCTAAGCTACGATCAAATTTGATGTATGTTGTGTTTATCATCTTGCAGGGAAATCCATACTGGTCGATGATGCATACAAGCTCATATAAATATGGCTATTCTGGTTCAGGAAATAATCCTTACTACAGTTTCAGTAACTCATACGAGATAAATGATTATGTACCAAGATTAGATGGAGGGAGGAGGGTGTGGGATGACTCTGCTCCATCAAACATTGTAGACTCGCCACAAATAGCTGTGCATGGAGCTGAGGATGTGGATACGAATAGTAACCCCAGCACTGAAGAATGTTAGTCTTGTTAAATTTATAGCTTAGTTATACCCAACTTTTTTTTAACCGAAAGTCGTGCCTAACTTCTCACAGTTTTTCAAATTTTTTTCTTTTTTGGAAACTTTTTCAATGGAAAAATTACGTGACTCAATAACTGTGGAGATATTCAAAGCCATCACAACTTTATCTTTCCATTTATCTGAGTGCGGAATCTTTCACTGCCGTATACCTCTTCTCCAGAGTCAATCTATGCACTTGAGGACATGTTTTCAATCATTGCCTTTTGAAAGGTTGTTTTACTGCTCATATTTAAGTGGAAGAGCATATCTTGGATTATCGCTGTGTATGTGTTTCTATAGCCTATGTCATGTGGCAGAAAATGCCAGCTGTTTATAGCAATTGACCAATGGTTGTATTACATATTCCCTTTTAGACTCTTCCTTACTTCTTTCCCTTTCCAATCCAACCATCCTAGGCCTGGCAATGAGATGGCCTTGATAGATTGCCTTTCAACTCTTATAACACTCCACCTGCTCAAATTTAGTGTGTCCAGAGATGATTTACGCAATTCATGTGTCCCCTTGTCTTTGGCACCAGTTCACTGACTTATCATCTATTCTACTCAAATTTCCCAAAGAATAGGGAGGGAGAAACTATTTGGCTTACATCTAAATTTTCTAATATAAAATTATTATAAATCAAATGTTCAACAATTTTCTCTTTGTAAGGATCTAACATATAGAAATACAATTTCATAAATAGGTAATCTATGTGATAAATATATACACAGTCAAAATCAGTTAAGTAGTGTCTTGCATTCACTCAGTTTTAATGTGGGTTTGATTAGTAAAAAGGCATGAGGTCAAAATTAGTCCTATATTAGAGAAAATTAGATGTAAGTATAGTTAAATATGCTTGGACTCTTGTTAATCCTTTCAGTCAGTTGGTTCCAACTTCCGAGAAGTTTAGCCTAGCTCATCTCGTTAATGAGCCTCACAACCTAACAGATTGGTACAGGACCCATGCATTGATGGGCGTTTGGATATTTGTTTGCTTTGAGATTTTGTTTGCATAGTTTAGGGCTCAAGGTGGACGGCACAAGACTTTAGATATGCCAGTAGTATTACTTACTTCACAGAGGTTAGGGCTTCTTGGTTGCACAATGCACATGCTGTCACATTTGCCACATGCAAAGTGCTAACCGTCAAATTAAGATGCTATCTCTAACAGCTATTAAATTGCAGTATTCCGCTCGCATGGGACATGACTGGATCTGTGCCAAAGTGGATGTCTGTTAAGAAGTGTCTCTCCATTTCAGTTTACATGTGGTTTAGATTAGTAAAAAGACTTGTGGTGGACTTTAACCCAACATTGGAAAAGAGCTAGAGGAATATATGGTTAACTATACTTGACTCAAATATGGTTGGTCCTTTTTATCATCTAGGTCCATGTGGATTAGCCTGCTCCATCTCCGTTAAGGAGTGTTTCACATCCATTCAGAAGTGTGGGTTTGATTAGTAAAAAGACGTGAGGTGGAATATAGCTTCATATTGAAAAAAGAGTTTGATGAATATATGGTTAAATGTATTTGGAGCAATGACTCAAATTTGATTTATTTTTTTGACCCATCATGGTTAGATGAATACATGCAGATAAAATCCTGTTCATAGAATCAGCACGAGTTGCCTGCAAATAGTGATAAATTGATAATTCATCACTACGACACTACCTGTGGGTAAAGTTGACAGAAGATTACTAAACTTGATATAGATAAAGGCAACTATTCAAGAAAACCCATTGGCGCTGCAACTAATTGGTAGATGATAGAAGAGAATTATTTGGAAATATTATGAATTTGCTTCTATGTAAGATTAAAAATTTAATTTTGTACGTTTCATATATACAATAACTATCTATATTATTTGCATCTTTTAAGGTTAAAAGTGAAAAATGTCAATTTCATTTCATTTATTTGTTTAGAACTTATTTGTTGTTGGTACGATTTCTTTTCTGCGCAGATTCAATTTAGTAGCTCTTTGCCTCTCTACTAAAATATTTGAATTACATTATTATTTTGCAGGCATTCGAACAAACAACTCAGGCAGTCCTGAGGTGAGAAGATCTTCTATTTTAACTTTTACAACACTAGTTTACAAAAATTCATCACAAAAATCTTGTGATTTTGCTAGCAGTTATTCCTTGAAGGGATATTCTTTAAGAAGGATTAATAAAACCTGTTGCATGTGCACAATGTTCTAAATATCCAATGTCGAGAATATGTTGTATGGAAAATTTTCACATCAAATTGTGGATATCCGGCATATATTAGAGATATTTAATAAATATCAAGGTGCCATATCAGATAATATCTTTGTACATATCAAGGATATTAACACTTCGTGCACTAGAGAATGGAGCTGTGGAGAAGGATGATATTTTTGCGAAACTTTTGCTGAATAATAGGGTGTAGATTGATCTCTAATTCTTCCCTATGGTTGTTCACATTAGCATATATTTATTTGGTCTAGACCTCAACTGAACCATAAATCCCAGCAAATCCCTTAAAATAAATAAAAGCCCAAAAGAGAGTGCAACACTTCAAGCCATTTTTTGAGGACGAAATATCACCTGATATATTGGAAAATTCATGATATATTGCTCAAAGATGCCAGAAGTGGTAAAACATATTGAGAGTGTAAAATGATATATCATATAATATACTGGATATTTAAAACAATGAAGTGCACACAACCTATAAAACTGATATGGGATCTTTGCTACATGGATCTGTTATGCAGCATATACTATAAGCACAATGTGACTGGAATATATCACATAGACTAGGTTAATTTTGCACACAATTTATTGGCTTTTTGGGAGATATCCATTTAAAATTTAACAAATATATAACTTTAATAAGAAAAGATTGTAAATCAAACTGATTTTAATCTTATCTTGACTTAGGAAGAAATGAAAGCATCGCTTCCTATAAAGTTCATCCAACTTACAAGCCTACATCAGAATCTCATTCCACTCTAACCCATCTTGCTAACCTAGAAACAATTTTTATCTCTAAGCTTGGAACTAGGCTTTAATGTAGAGCTCACACGCAGATGTTAGTAAAGGAAATACTCATTCTGTAGATATGTTGTAATTCTCATGCATCTTCATATTATTTCACAACAACTATGTTTGATATCCTAGTTTGCGATTTGGAATTCTTAGTGTGCTTATATGATGTGCATGTTCATCTACTTTTACTCATCTAGACGAAACTGTTTAAAAACAATCATTGTTTTAATTATTTAGGGAGCGTTTGACAACCGTGACGTTTTTTTCGTTTCTGTTTTTGTTTTCAACAAAAACAATAAAACGCGTTTGGTAACCGGAGCGTTTTTTTAACTTGACCATTTACAAAATCCAAAAAATAAACTCTTTTCTCAAAACACCAAAAACATGTTTTGAGATTCCGTTTTTTCATCTAAGCCACCGCCACTGTTTAAAAACAATCATTGTTTTAATTATTTAGGGAGCGTTTGACAACCGTGACGTTTTTTTCGTTTCTGTTTTTGTTTTCAACAAAAACAATAAAACGCGTTTGGTAACCGGAGCGTTTTTTTAACTTGACCATTTACAAAATCCAAAAAATAAACTCTTTTCTCAAAACACCAAAAACATGTTTTGAGATTCCGTTTTTTCATCTAAGCCACCGCCACCCTAATGTCACTAGGAAAGAACCCTAGAGGGGGGGAGGGGGTTGAATAGAGTATTATGCTAATCTAATCCGATTTTATGCCAATTAAAACTAATTAATAAATATATCCTAGCAAGTATGATATGCTACAAGATATGTGCAAGGATATACAATATAAACAAGTGTAAACAATATGATCATGCAATAATGACGATATAACAATATGCAAGAATAAATGCGTCAATGCCAAACCCAAACACAAGGAAATGATCACGGAGTTCGGACCTTCCGTCCTATGATCATGCAATAATGACGATATAACAATATGCAAGAATAAATGCGTCAATGCCAAACCCAAACACAAGGAAATGATCACAGAGTTCGGACCAAGGTTTTAAATATCGGTTATCGGGGATTTATCGGACGGTCAAAATCCTTATCGGATAGCGAAAATCGGGGATATATCGGGGATAAGTAGGATTTATCGGAGATATACTATATAGTGTATATATAATATAATAACCAAAAAATGTAATCTAACCATACTTAATGAAATATAAACATACCAAAGTATAAATAATCATGTTTAGAATCACTAACCAATTGTAGAAAGTAAGTCGGGTCGGGTTTAACAACTCACTAAATAACTGCCCATTACCTGAAAATTGAACTCAAAATTTGGCCCAATAAAGCCGATATTTAGAGCCTCTTTATCGTCCAATAAGTACCTTTATCGTCGATAACTCGCCGATAAACCCCAAAAAACGATAACCGATTAAAATTCCTACTTATCCTAGCGGAAAGCTCCCAAATCTGATAACTCGGCGATAATATCGGATTATCGGCCGATATTTAAAACCAAGGTTCGGACCTTCCGTCCTACGTCTCCGCTCCCCACTCTTGGGGAGAATCCACTACATAACCCGGTTTGGAAGCCGGAACTTCTCTACACACTAGGTTTTCTAGCTAACCGAAAACTCTACACACTCGGTTATCAAGTCAACCGATAACTCTCATAAATCCTTACAAAGTACATACACAATGTCACGCCCCGAAACTGCAGCGGCCCCAATGGCGCCGAAGGTGAAGAGGGTTGTTTCCAAGAAAAGGAAAGAATCTGGTTCTTCGGGTGCTGCTGAAGGTATCTCCTTGCTTCAACTTTTGTGTAAGTTTAGTAGGTGTTCCTCCCCCAACTGTTCCCTGTATCGCTTGTTGCGTCTTACAGGTCGAGAGGAGGTGCCGGCTGCCGAGGAGCATGCGGCCGATCCCATTCTGATTTCAGACGACGAATCTGAAGGCCGTGCGAACTCCGCTGCTCCGGATCCCGCTCCCCAGCCGGGAGCCGAACCTTGCCTCGAAATTCCTCCCATCACGACGCTTGCTCCGGGCCAGAGGTCTGTTCCCTCCGAGTCTCAACCGTGGCAGGCCCGTATTGAAGAGTTCGAAGGTGCTGTAAGGCAGGCAATTTCCCTCGTCGAACTCGGTATGGGTAGCTTTGACAGCTTCAGGCAGTCCCTCTATGATCGCGTGGCCGATTTACGGCGATCAGGTGAAAACCGTCTCGCTACCCGTTGCGTGCGTGAACTCCGTCTCTTGGAGCCACGCATGATGGTGCTAGAGGACTTGCTACGGGGAGGTCCGGAGGCTAAAATGGCATCCTGTCTAGCTCACTTCGGGCGTCAGGAAGCCCTGGAACAGGAAACCCGCTCCAAGGAGATAGCGGATTTGGAGTCTGTGGCTAACTTTTGGGTGAGCCAGCAACGTTTGCTAGAGGAGCAAGTCATTGATCTCAATCATACCATGGCTCGCCTGAGGGCCGAGTTAGGGCAGGCGGAGGCGAAGTGGAAGGCGCTCCAATCTGACGTGGTCAAGGTTAATGAGAACGCTGAGGCAGAGACTCGACGCCTGCTAGCTTTGCGCCAAGCAGATGCTGCCGCTGCGTCGAACCGCGAGGACCGGATCCGGAAGGCTGCTGAAAACAAGGCTCGGGAAGACCACGCGAGCCAGGTTGAGGCGGTCAAAGAGGAGATTTCCACCTTCAGCGTGTTCGACTGAGACTTCTGCCTCAGGACTGTATTAAGATGTTTTGCTTGCTTGTTTTTACATTTGGGACTATGCCATGACTCTTAAAGTCATAACTTTGTTCAAATGTATTGTCTTGAAACGCTGGGTGTATGTTTTGCTTCTTTGAACATGTTATTATGACTTTCGCAATTTGCAGAAAACATAACTTTGTTCAAATGTACTGTCTTAAAGTCCCAATGAGGTTTGTGCCCGCTCATTGCTTGCGTATTGGCGAGACTTAATTTGTTTTCAGGCGAGACTCGATCGCGGCGAGTTCCGCTTGGGTGCTAAACCCAACTGTTGGCGAGTTCAAGCAGATGAGTAAACTCCTTTGCTGGCGAGTTTCGCTTGGGAACGGAACCCAACGGCTGGCGAGTTTATACTACGTGCGAACTCCGTACGATGTTGGGCTTGTGTTGGAAACCTGACCCGATTTGCCCGGCGAGTTTGAACTTCAGGCGAAACTTGAGCAGTCAGCGAATTTGTCCAACAGTCGGAGATCCAACTACGGGCGAAACTCGTGCCACGTGTCAGTCGGCGGGGCCAAGTGCTTGCCAGCCAGGAGTCTGCAGGCGCATTAATGCTTATTTATGGTGAAGCGACCGGTCGCTTCGCCTCTCGTGCCCAATCCGATCTGTCGGTTCGGGGTTTCGAGAGCAGCCTTTAATGGCGTCGAGTTCGAAGCGTCGCAGGGCGTTTGGACCGCTTGATCGCTTGGGGTGATGAATCTCCACCGTTAAATTTTTCGGAATATATACTTGCACTTGCTCTTCTCCAGCAGAGTCCCTACCGCTTCGAGAGAAATCCGCTAGGAAGAGATCTCTGCGAAAAAGAACTCTCTCTCTCATGGCTTCCTCTTCTAATGATAGTGGTGCGGAGGGTGTCGGTTCTTCCTCCACCGTCGTCGACGTTGGTGCTCCGGCTGCCGTCCCCGCGATTCCGGACCCCTTGGCTCATCCCGCCTTCGTGCCCCTCCAGGAATTGGTGGGCTTGGTGCACGGGGTTGCCATCTCAGTCAGCGTTGGCGACGGACGTTACTACGACGCGCTCCCTCATGTGGAAGCGTGTTTGGAGGCGGTTCGCCGTGCGGGTGATGCCTCGCTCACACGGCGATGTGAGCGGGAGCTTGAGCGCATTGAGGGGTGGATGTACCGCCTCGAAGAATTGGCCAACGAAGATTCCTCTGATGAGCCGCCGCCCCCTTCTTTGTGTCATCTACTCGAGCGCAAAGAGCGAGCGAAAAGGATTCAGGCGAAAGAGGCCGAGCTCCAACGTCTGCGGAGGCGTCAACAAGCGGTGCTGGACCGGATGGATGCCTATCTGGACAGGGCCTTCTTCGAGGACGCTGGCTCCC